CAGATGGTAGACGACCCAGCGCAAAGTCCACTCGAAGGAGATCAAGCGCTGCGCGCTCGTCACATGCCCCTGCTTTGAAATCACGACGAGCATCGGCGGCGAGCGGCAAACCTGCTAATCAAGGAGCTTCTTCGCAACGCTCAGCTATACTGAAGCGCGAAGAACTGAGCGCGCAGATCGATGGCGTCAGAGTGATTCTTATAGGGGATCTGCATGATCTTCCATTACTCGACTGGAGCGTCAAGAAATTCACTGTCGATGTTCGTGATTGGTCGTCTGCACTGAATGCTGACACTAGCTTTGATACCTTCATCAACGTTTACAATTTCTCCAAGTCGGCCTGGGAACCACTCATTGAACCCTGGCAACTCGGTTTTCACGTCGCCAAGGAGGTCGACCCAGAAGTCTTTTCAATCGATGCCTACTCACATAAGAACATGGAGCTCACTTTAACCTCAGCTACAATTGCATTGGCATCCAAGTCGTTCCAATTTCTCTCTACCGATGAAGATGTTCTTTCCAAACCCCGCGGAGCTGACGCACCCTATCGGATTCGCAATTATACCGGCTTCGATCTGCGTGTCTGGGCGGATGTCAGCACCGGAGAGGAAGGTCCGGCTGCTAAACTCTCTGACGGGGAAGAATACCCTTGGAGGTTTGAAGACTCGACTGCAGTACGTGAGACTCTTGCACCTGAAGGCCAAGGCGGCGTCGTCGGGGTGAAACTCGAGGGGAGCGGCTTCGAGAGCATCAACCGCATTCCTGTGGCTAGGGAGGGCGAATTCTTGTATAGCCTCAAACCCAAGGCAGATGGTGTTCTCCATAGGCTCCTAGTCGAAGTTAAGCTGGGTACCGACAACGTCAAGTATATCACCTTCCGCTCGCCGCTGCTTATCGAAAACAATACTCAAATACCGGTAGAGCTGGGCATCTTAAATCACAAAGAAGGACATCTCCTCAAGATTGAGAAGATTCTTCCTGGGGAAGCTCGACCTGCACCTGTAGGTGCCGCCTACTTGCATTCAGTCCTCATCCGTCCTGATCAGGGCTTCGGATATGAATGGTCAACAGAGCCACTGCACTGGAAAGCTCTCGTGCGGCGACCTACTCGCACGATCAAGTGCATCAGCGAAAGTGGACAGCAGGCTCCGCCCTTCTACTTCCAAATGAATGCCACCTACAACCCCAAGGATTCCTTGACGAACGTCTATCCTTACATGCGTATACGCATTTTCGCTCCGGTGGAAATTGAGAATCTATTACCATACGATTTCAAATACCGCATTTATGACAAGAACACAAAGAAGGACTGGACCAATTTCCTAAGGAAGGGCGGTGTCAGTCCGGTCCATGTTGTTGAGCTATCTCATCTACTGCTTCTCAGTATTGACCTGGAGGACAGCGTCTTTAGGCAAAGCGAATTCGCCATCATTAACGGAAATGCGCAAGATTTCCGAAGGGAACACATGCTCTCACTCAAGGATGAACAAGGCATTACGTTAAGACTGAAGCTCCATTACTTCAACGTTCCAGATAGTGGGGGCGCTTTCAAGGTGTCGATTTACAGTCCGTATCTTATCTTGAACAAGACAGGACTGCCAATGGAGATCCAGAGCAAGGCCTTCTTGCAATCAGCACGCTCCGCAGCTGGTCAGGGCCTGAACCCCGACCCAAGACATGGCGGGCGGGCTCTCCCATACATGTATGCTTATCAATCGGAAGATCCGAAGAACCGATCTATTTTGAAGATAGGAGATTCCTCCTGGAGCAAGCCACAGAGTTTTGAGGCTCTTGGGAGCAACTTTGAAGTTGTCTTGGCCGATAGGCAAGGGAAGTGCGAGTTCCATGCGGGGGTGTCTGTTATGGAGGGTGAAGGCAAATACAAGATGACTAAAGTCGTCACTATTTCTCCTCGCTTCATCCTGAAAAACAAGCTGAGTGAGGACATTTTGGTTCGCGAACCCGGCTCATCGAACGTGCTTACCATCAAGAGTGGTGATTTGGTGCCCCTCCATTTCCTGCGCCAGATCGCAGAGAAGCAACTTTGCCTGTGCTTCCCTGGAGTGAACAATCAATGGTCATCGCCTTTCAACATTGCAGACGTTGGAACCGTACATGTGAAACTTGCCAAGGCAAATCAACGTCAGAGGCTTATCAAGGTTGATATCATCATGGAAGGCGCTACACTTTTTATTCACTTCAGCTTGGAAACTCGAAATTGGCCCTTCTCCATGCGGAATGAGAGTGATTCTGAATTTATCTTCTACCAAGCTGTAAGCACCCCTGGGCAACATATGACTCGTATACATGCTAACACACTGATTGCCCTAATAGAATCCAAACGTGGAGGATGACGAGGATGATAGAACAAGTGGCTGGCGGCCAATTCGCTACCGGCTCCCTCCCCGCAGCATCATGCCCTATGCATGGGATTATCCGGCGACGAAGAACAAGTCTCTCGTCTTGACATGTAATGGAAAGGAAAGGCATATCAGACTTACCGAGATAGGCAACCTGATACCGATGAGAATACCGCCTTCACGACCTGGGGAGCCGCAAAAGATTGTTGATATCAATATCGTGGCGGACGGGCCGACCCAGACCCTCGTCTTGTCAAATTTCAAGCAGTCTCGAAGTCTTTATAAGCAACAGAAGGCACAGACGTCCCAGACTAGTGTGTCAACAGGTTTCGAGGTAAAGGAGTTGGACTCAGATGTCAATTTCAAAGCTCAGCTACGTCTGGCGGGCTTTGGGGTCTCATTGATCAACAAGAACCTGAAGGAGCTGCTATATCTCACTTTCCGCGAAATCGAGATCAAGTTCAGGGAATCAAGGGTTTACCAGACTTTGAACACAACGATCAAATGGATCCAGATCGATAACCAACTTTATGGGGGCATCTTCCCCATCCTGTTGTATCCAAGCGTTGTGCCAAAGACCGGAAAGGAAATGGAGGCCCATCCGATCTTTCACGCCATGGTTACACGCGTAAAAGACGACTCTTACGGTGTACTTTACATCAAATATGCCACGGTGCTTCTTCAGCAGATGACACTTGAGCTTGACGAGGACTTCATCTTCGCCATGCTCGATTTTGCAAAGGTTCCTGGTGCTTCATGGTCCGAGGAGCAGGAAGGAAGACTCTGCGATGAAGATCTAAACATCCCAGAACCGCAGAACGAAAGTGCTAGTCAAGATGTGTACTTTGAGCTCCTTCATTTGCAGCCCATGCAGCTGGATATCTCCTTCATGCGGACAGAGAGGGTTAATGCCGAGAATAACATGCAGCCCTCCAACCCTCTCATGTTCTTCGTCAATGTTATATCCATGTCGATGGGCAACATCAACGACGCCCCCGTTCGCCTCAATGCTCTTATGTTAGAGAACGCTCGTGTCTCTTTCGGAATCCTTCTGAACAATATTCAGAGACATTACACTCAAGAATTCCTTCGTCAAGTCCACGTCATCCTTGGGTCGGCGGATTTCCTGGGAAATCCAGTGGGTCTGTTCAACAATGTCAGCTCTGGTGTTGCTGCTATCTTCTACGAGCCGTATCAGGGACTGGTCATGACCGATCGGCCTCAGGAACTGGGCATGGGTATTGCAAAAGGCGCTACAAGCTTTGTTAAGAAGTCCGTCTTTGGTTTCTCAGACAGTATGGCCAAATTCACCGGAAGCATGTCCAAGGGACTTGCGGTCGCCACGCTAGACAAAGAATTTCAAGATCAGCGACGGATGTCGAAATCTCGGAATCGGCCAAAGCATGCACTGTATGGTATCACGGCCGGTGGAAATGCGTTCGCAACCAGCTTAGCAAGCGGTATTGGAGGACTTGCTCGCCACCCGCTGGAGGGTGCGGAGAAAGAAGGTCTCCAAGGTTTCATCAAGGGTGTCGGCAAGGGTGTACTTGGTCTGGCCACCAAGCCGGCAATAGGCGCCTTTGACCTTGCCTCAAGTACGTCAACCTTTAGGAAAATAAAGATGCTCATGCTGACTGTTGTGTAGATCTCGCCGAGGGTGTACGAAACACCACGACAGTGTTTGACGCGGAAGGTCTCGACCGTGTTCGCCTAACCCGTTTCATTGCCACGGACGGTATAGTGCGGCCATACTCACAGCGCGAGGCTTTGGGTCAATTTTGGCTTAAGACAGCCGACGACGGCAAGTATTTCAACGAAGACTATATTGCGCACTTGGAGCTGCCGGGCAAGGACATGCTGGTCATGTTGACGTACGACCGAATAATGCTTGTGCGTAGCAAGAGACTTCGAACAGAATGGGATATCCGATTGACAGACATCCAAACCATTTCCAAGGAGCGGACTGGTATGAGCATTACGCTCAAGGGTGGCGCAAACGGCCCTTTCATTCCCGTGCAAGACGAGAGCTCGAGGAATTGGCTGTACCGCCAGATCGCCATTGGTAGGTCTATCCCAGATTACCTGCGAAGTGAACCGATGCTAACCATCTGCAACAAAAGCTGTGAACGCATTCAATGAAAGGTACAATATGAGAGTTTGAGTTGGGATTCCTTGATCTTAAATAATCAGGCCACGTCTATCGTAGACGAAGACCAACCCGAGGACGCATGATGCATTGAACGTTCTTGGTCAGATTCTACACTCGCATTCCTTCTTTCAGAGTATATAATTCTACCACAGCCCTTTTAGTGATGAGCATGATATTGTCAATGTAAATAATCACACTATTTTTCCAAACAGAACGACTCATTCTTTCTGACGGTGCCAAAGTAGTGTTCAGAATCTGTTACACCACCATCCGTAACTAGATCTGTTTCAAATTGATTTGCCAGTGTGGTTGGAGGGCATGCTTAGATTCATATAGTCGTGATCAGACGAAGCTTTCATTTCATCACATCTGTATAGATAGATATTATCATAGAAAAATAAAGTGAACATGGGTATCATCAATCTCCCAGATGAACGCGCAGAAACAGAGGCTCCGGGGAGCCTAGAGTAGTCGAGACAAAGACTGATATGTCACTTGCCCTCGGCACGCTCCACAAGCCGATCTTCCAGCCCCATAGGCTCCCATATGTCCTTCGCTTTCTTGTTTTGTACCCACACGACATCTCCCTGTACAAATGCGACAACTCCGCCCTTCCCGGTGGCACTGGCCGTAATGCGGAACAAAGGCTGGCCGTTCTGCGGGTGCGCTTCCCGCAGGGGCAGTATGACAAGACCCTGTTCCATGCACCATGATTCGAGAATATCCTTGAAGGCGATTTCCTCGACGACCTTGGGCTTGCGAGGCGGTGCAGGCGCCTCTGGAGCAGGGCGTGGTAGGTCTTCTGCGGGGGCCGGTTGCGCTGCGACGGTGGGGGCTGGCAGCTCGGTGGCGGGGTCATCCAGGCGGGACGCAAGGTCCATTTGTTGAAGACCTTTGTTCCATTCGTCGTCGACGACGGCGAGCTCGTTGATCTCTGCGGGGATCTGAGTGCGCCACCAGGTGAACCATTCGCCGACCTCTTCGAAGTTTGGATCGTGGGTAAGCCAGAAGTATAGGGTTGCGTGCCATTTAGGGAAGAACTCCGCCACCAAAAGAAGGCCAAGGACGTTGGGCTTGAAGAATCCTTTCCACTTAAGGATATCCTCCAGAGCAGTCAAGTCCTGATCTTGAGGGTTTACCTGGAAGTCGTGCTGCAGGTGAAACGCAAGTCGGGGTAGCAGGAGGTTACGTAGGGCAACATCGAACTCGGACCCCAGCGCGTCTCGCCAGAGTTCGATACCACTTATCAGACCCTTACGAACATCCCACGAACGCAGGATTTCACGGAACTTCTTTTTCGCGTCTGAGAGGAGACCCGTGGCTTGTCTTGGATTCGTGTGACGTTCGTCCAAGTATTGGAGCCAAGTGAAGAGCCACCATGGAGAGCGCGAGGCCTGATGGGAAGAGGGATGACGCCTGCTGCTGTTCTTGGGCTTCCACTCTTTCAGACCGCCGCTGAGCTTGGGAACGACGAGCTGGTCGAGCACGTTTGCGAACACGAAGTTTGGTAGGATCTCTTTCCAGGATACGATCAGTGATGTGGCAGGGGACGGGTCGAACACATCCCAGTCGTTAATGAGCGCAGAGCGGACTCGGGGGAGCCAAAGAGTGTAGATCATAGTTTCATATGGCGACGTCGCTTGCCTTGACACGGCTTCGTCATTTTTCTTCCTGCTCAGAAGGGGCTGAAGACGACGAAGATTGGATACAAGAAATGTCGGCTCTTGAAGAGGATCCCAATCCTCCATCGCTTGGCGGAAGAGGGGGTGAATAGCAGCGACCGCCGTCTCTGATAGTCGATACTCGTCGATCTCGCTTCGGTACTTCATCTCTATCGATTCGAGCTTGCTGGTCAATTCGTCAAATCGTGCAATCGTACTGTCTCCTTCGAAAATCTCCAGCTGCCCAATAGCGGTGATAAGGTCCGTGAGTTGATCCGTCTTGAGCTGATTGGTGTCCAGTTGTTCCACGATCTGAGCTTCCTCCAACTCAGCAAACTTCTTTCGCTCAGTCAATCCTTTCCATTCATCGGCAAAGGCTTCAAGGTCATGACGCGCTCGTCGTGCGATCTTCAAGGCCTCTCCTTCACCTTGATTGACAAACTCCAAAGGAGTCATCAGGCCGGCTGTGGAGGTCAGAACTCGCTGTTCCTTGCCAGTAGCATCAATCAGCGACTTTAACACGTTTGGCACCTCCAGACCATCCATGTCCGCCTCAATTTCGCGTGCGGTTCTGAAACGAGGTTTCGCTCGAGGGACCGGTGTCCCCGTCCCACTCCTGCTCTCCCGTTGACGCTCTTCCTTCTTTTTCCGTCGTCTCCTCCGTTCTTCATCTGAGCTGTCTTCGACGACTTCACCTCGGGCAGCTGCTTGTCGTTTCTCCTCCTCTCGAGCTTGTTTCGTTTTCTCGCGAACGGCACCCAACCCAGCGCCCGTCGGTCGCGCTTGCGCCTCGATCGGGTTGACGATACCCTGTCCACTTGCACCCAAACCTTGCCCTTCTTTGTAACCCATCTTAGCCATCATACGTGCAGCAAAAGAATTCCCTCCGCCGGTGGTGCCTTTGCTGGTATTGGCGTTTCCGCCTCGGGGGGCAGCGGTGGCTGACTGCACATTGTTATCCCAGGGATTGCGACGAGCACTTCCCAGGCCGAAAGAGGCAGGCGATTCGGAGCGTGAGGAAGCTCTCGCAAAGCCGCGAAAGCCTGTAGGAGGGCGAGCATCTTCCTCATCTGAGCTCATATCGACGACTTTACGCTTCTGGCCAGCGAATGACGAGGAGGTCGGTGACTCCATGGCCGGTCTAACGGGGGCAAATGCAATGAAATTACGTCTGAAAGTCACTGCCTTTTCAGTTTAACTGAGGGCGTGCAAAGTGAGGCTGATCAAATCTATGAAAAATCCATGAAAAAAGAGCTGGCAACGACGCCGTGTGATCGACTTCTAGAACATTGATGATAATAAAGTAATAAACCGTATCTGATTTCTTTCGTAATCGCTCGGGCGGTGACGGGGCGGGCAAACGAGAGCTCCGAGGGGAGAGAAACAATGACGTTTGTTCCCCATTCTCCTCCGAGCCGATTCTTCTCTCCTTCTCTCTTCATTTCTTCTTTTGTTTTGCCTTTGAGAAGCATCAGAATAGTTTCTGGTTTGTCTCTTTCATCTCTTCAGTAGACGACATCTGTCAATTACAAAATGGCCGCCTCTCTCATCCGTACCTCTGCGCGTACCGCCCTCCGCTCCGGAGCTTCGGCTGCTCCAAGAGCTGCTGCGAGCTTGACTTTTGCCCGGGGCAAGGCTACTCTGCCTGACCTGTCTTGTATGTTGGCTCCCCCTCATCAATGCATCCCTCGTTTCAAAATAGGAGCCTTTTTTCTTCGTCCAAAGTTCAATACCGACGCTGTGTCCGAGCTACACAATCTCACCTGTCACATATAACTCCTAGCGTAGCATTACAATTGCAGTCTCTGAATGGAACTAATCATGGATAACAGACGATTATGGTGCTCTGGAGCCTTCTATCTCTGGCAAGATCATGGAACTTCACCACAAGAACCACCACCAGACCTATGTCAACAGCTACAACCAGGCCATCGAGCAGCTGCAGGAGGCTCAGGCCAAGAACGACATTGCGTCCCAGATCGCCCTGAAGCCCCTGATTAACTTCCACGGCGGTGGTCACCTCAACCACTCTCTCTTCTGGGAGAACCTGGCCCCTAAGAGCTCTGGTGGTGGTGAGCCCCCGAGTGGTGCTCTGGCCAAGGCCATCGACGAAGCATATGGCAGCTTGGAAAACTTCCAGGGTAAGATGAACACCGCTCTGGCTGGCATCCAGGGAAGCGGATGGGCTTGGCTTGTCAAGGACAAGCAGACCGGACACATTGGCATCAAGACCTATGCCGTAAGTATAAGCATTCTGAAGGAGTGAATCCCAGGCAATTAATTTCAAATTAGAACCAAGACCCTGTTGTTGGTCAGTTCCAGCCTCTTCTCGGCATTGACGCCTGGGAGCATGCCTATTAGTAAGTGGCCCTTTCTAGCCCTGCCGTCCAATTCCGGTCAACAGTAGCTGATGCAAGCACAACTTTGCAGTCTGCAATACCAGAACCGCAAGGCCGAGTACTTTAAGGCCATCTGGGAGGTTATCAACTGGAAGAGCGTGGAGAAGCGCTTCTCCGCATAGACTATCCAAGAGCATTGTATGTTGACACAGCTTTGGTTGGAGCGTTATTTTGTTGGTTTGTCGCATGTGATTGTATAATGGTTTTCTGTATCTGATATAGCCTTAATCAACAAAGGCACCAACAACGGCCAGTCACTCTCGCAATTTTTACCTCATAGATTGTAGCCACAGTACGAGTCCTCCAGCTCTCCGGATAGTCGCGGATATAGTCTCCCGTAACAGCCGGTATTGTTACCGTACTGAGCTCTTTACGGCATCATCCAAGCTCCAAAAACGGAAATTCGATCCTCCAGGTCCGCTCCGCAGTATGACGAACATGTAGGGAAAAGAAGACACCAAGTCTTCAACTACCTCCCACTCATTGCCCGCCGCCTTTCCAGCAGGATGTCTGCAGAGAGTCCGGGACAGAAAAGTGGCTTTCGAGCCTTTTTAACAAACGCTCTGCGACCGAAGAAATCCCGCCAAGTTCTCCGCAAGAACACCGCATCCACACCAAATCTCCGAGCGGCTGCACAACTGAGCATTGCCAGCGATGAAGTCCCGGAAGTTCCTCCTCTTGCACCATTGCAAGCTCATCGGATCAAGTATCGGGAGAAAAATGCACTGGTGGATACCCAGCTAGGCGAGACTCGCGACCCTACGGCTATGCTACATACGATAGGCATTCTTGATACAGAAGATTCGGATGGCTTCGCATCAGACTTACAAAAAGATAATCGACCCCCCGGGGAGCCGATGATTGCAAGCTTATCACAAGATCTATGGGCGCTTGTTGCAGAGTACCTCAATCCGGCAGAGCGAGCCAGCTTAGCATTTGCCAGCAAGACGCTCCTCCTCCGCCTGTGCCGGGGGCCCTGGATGGCCTTGAACCTCCCCGAGAACCGCGAGTACAGAATCGACTTCCTAGTCCCACAGGACCGGTACCTACCCCACCATCTCCTCTGCATGCCTTGCGGCCGATACCACCGCCGCACGCTGGAAGGCCACGAAAGACTCGAGCCCGCAACGGTCGTCAACCCGCTCTACAACTGCCCGAACGCCCGCAACCCCCTCCTCCCCGCTCCACGCCACCGCATCACCCACTCCCGCATGCTGTACTTCACCTTCGTGCAGCTTGCGCTGCGCGCCCGCCGGTTCGGTCCCTCCTACGGCATCCCCCTCGACTCCCTCTCCCGTCGCTGGCGACGGGACGGCTGGTCCCACCACACGCGGTACCACATCCACAAGGGCAAGCTGCTGATGCGGGTGGTGAGCTCGACGTTCGCAGACCCAGACATGGCGCCCAGCTCGATGCGCCTGCTCCTCTACTCGCGCGAGGACTACTGGCCGTACTTCTCCGCGTGCGCGCACTGGCGCGACGGCGAGCTCATGGACGTCTGCAAATGCGCGCTGGGCCACGTCCCCAAGCCCCGCGCCACAGCCGGCCTGCAGAGCCTCGAGCACCGCGCCAAGGACATCTACCACGGCCGCACGTACAACCCCAACGAGTTCGCGACCCTGTGCCCCAAGTGCCGCCCCATGCGCCGCTGCCCCGACTGTCCGTCCGAGTACATGGTCGAGATCAAACTGACCGAGGACCGGTCCGAGCCGCGGAGTCTGCGCTTCCGGCATGCGATCGTGGTGACGAGGTGGTGTGATCTCGGCGATGGGAGCTCGCCGCATGGCTCGCGCGAGTGGGGCGCGTGTAATGGCGAGCTGACCGGGTATGACTCGTTTGCGGTGCTGGGGAAGCGGTCCATCTCCGGGGTGTTTGAGTCGGCGTTCACGGATGATCATATACCGGGGCAGAGGATCGTCTCGATGAATCCGAAGGGGAAGCGGCTCGGGGAGGCGGGGAATAGCTGGTATTGAGTGTTTGTTATTTTCTCCCCTAATTCTGGGGCTCCTGCACGGCTGTAATCATTGGTCATGGCGTATGAAAGGAAAAGGAAAGGAGTCTGGTCCGGATAATTGGCTGCATTTTGGGAATGATATAGACTGGGTTTGGTTTTCTAGAGCGGTATTTGGGACAAAATCTTACAAACGTTGAATTCGTTATGAATAATCCTAGCTACCTCAATAGTCGACAAGTAAGTTCTGAAATAAATAGAAATGATCGTCTTCGACAAGCTCGCCCTTGAAGTCAAATGAAATCGTCATCATGTGCGACTTGTGAGAAAGCAGAGAGCAAGTCGTCCTGAAAAAGACTCGCCGTGCAAAGGCGTACAAAGGGACTTAAAATCAAAAAGAGAGGTGGTGCACTGGTGATAAGTTGGCAGACCCGCTGAACCATAACCAGGACAAAAAGCAGAAAGACGCCCAAATGCTTAGTATACCGTCAGAGATGTATCATAATTCGATAGTAAATAACGCTTGCATTCCATGAAAACCGCCCATGCAATCGGTAGTCGTACAGTCCAACATGAATATCGGAAGGAAAGGCTCGTATCGGAAGGAAAGGCTCGGGTATCAAAGCAGGTCATAAAAGTCATGCATGAGATACACGCGACGTGAAAGAGAATTTAAAGTAGCATAGGACGGGTCATGTATTCCCAGATTTGGGTACTTTTTCATTGCTCCGCCGTATCCTTCAAGATCGACGGGTTCTTCGCTCAATATATCGCGGCCGACGTGTCAAATCGTCGTCTTCTTGCTTTTGAGCCATATGTCTGGCGGAAGCTGAGGTATCTTGAAAAGCCCCATATGCACCGACGCTCTTCGCTGCCTCGGGCAGGGCATTGGAGCTGTCAGGGCCCCATCGTGACATTGGCCGTTGCTTGGTGGTAGTCTGCGTAGTTGCCGTCGAGTCTGCTCCAGCTTTCTTATGGTGAGAACCACTTCCGATCGAACCTTTCATCCAACCAAAGCCAAAGATGCCAAGGGAGCTACGTCTCTTATGCCCCTTGCTGGCGGACGTTGACGGCCTGGCCGTTGATGAGTGTGACCAGAAGTTCGATTCTGTGAAAGAATGGGGAAGAGTCCTGCTGGGGCTGCTTGCAGTATTCGCAACAGCGTAGGTCGGTGCCGATACGCAAAGCTCCCCATGAACCCGTTGCGGAGCATCCACAGCCTCGACGGTCTTGGCTATCTTTGGCGGTTCCATGAGCCTGGCTTTGCGAATGACAGGGGAGGGCGCACCATCTCCACTGTCCTCAGAGTCAGTTATTGGGGATGGCTCAAGACGACGAGGTTGCGCCAAACGGCCCAGGAATGGGGGCCGAAGATTGATACGTCGTCGGTGTTCCCGTTCTTGATGTACAGGCTGTGTATTTGTATCTGATGGAGGCAAGGGAAGCGTGGGTACTTCTGGGACTCCCGGGTCTCGGAGAGTCGAGTCCACACTATGCCTACGAGTTAGGAACGTAGATTGGCTGGGAGCCCTTGCTCCGGCCGCTTTAGAAGGATTCGGCGGAAGGCCGGTATAGGTCTTTGTGTTTGAAGACCTATTCTTCGTAGGCCGAGGACCTGGCTTTGCCGCCTCGACCCAGTCTTGAGGAGTCAAGGGCGGCGATAGAGATGTCATGTCTGCTGTTGGCATTTGAGTTGTCGGGGCTGGCGGAGAGTAGTAGTTCTTCTCCATCTTTGATATGACTTTCTCAATTCCCACAGAGTTGAAAATAACGTCATCAACATCGCTGAAATAACGCATACTTGGTTTGGGAGAAGCTAGATCAAACACGTAGTTCGTCTTGGATGGGAGGCCGTTCAAGGGGAAGATAGCCGGGGTCGCTTCGCGCTCTTCAGTACTAAGACGAGGGAGAGCCACATCACTCAGCGCAGGGTCAATTCTTTCCAAGTCTCTATGATCGGAACTTTTCGTCGTCAGCTCGCCCGCAGACCGTGGCCGGCCAAGTTTTCGGGGGGCAGAGAACTGCTGGTAAGGCTGAAGCTTCTCCCTGGCGCTACTGCCATTCGATCTATTCGTCCCGGACGCACAGGCCGTACTCATTGTGTCTGGAGTAGGGGGTAATTTTGACCCTCCAAAAACATCATCCAACCGTAGCTTCTGGCGAGGGGCGGTTGAGAACATGCCGTTTTTGATAGTGCAGTCGTCAGCTTCCCTTGAAGAATTGGTGCGAGCTTGGTCCCTTTCTTTTGGGATCCTTCTTGTCGGAAATAGTTCCACTTGAGGCTGATTCCAACTAGAGCTGCGAATATGACCGCTTGCCTGTATTTCGCCTTTGGGCTTCGGGGTAGTCTCACTTGTTCCCACTGATTTTTCCTGATGGACTGGAGTGTCGACTTGGTTGAAAAGGGGCGCCTCGTTTATAGTGTCATAGGGCATGAGCTCGCTACATTCACTGAGAGCACTCAATCTGGGCGACTCTGGTTCCATGGTTTCAGTCATCGAGTTCATGCTCTCCGTCTTCGTCATAGCGCTTCTCGCAGAGCGCGAAATATGTTCAGAGGTAACATAGAGACTGCGTAGAGCTGCGGTGCTCTGCTGCTCTTCACGGAGGAATGAAGGAGCCCTGGTGAGAGAACGACTTTTCGAAGAAATTCGGTGGTTGTCCCCTTGCACGGCGGCCTTCTTAGATGAAGATCTCTCCGGTATATCTGGAGTGACACAATTCTTAGGTGTAGCTGCGTCTGGCCCATTGCTGGACGAAGGACGAGCTGTAGAGGCTCTGGACGAAAGGGTACTAGCCTCCAGCTCCTCCACTCTCGCTTCAAGTTGACAGATCAATTCCACGGCTTCTGTGACCGCCTGGTCTCGCTTATCGATCTCTTGTCGGAGCTGCTCGTTGGACTCGCGAAGTCTCTGATTGTCCTCTTCCACATCACGAAGCTCTTGCAGTTCCTCTTCTAAATCGCGCATGCGCTGAACGTCTTCCTCTAGCTGCTGCATACGTTCCAGTTTTTTCTCCAAGACGGCCATCTGCTGCGCGCGATGGAAGATGTCAAGTTTCAGGTCAAAGTTTTGTTTGTTAATTTTCGAAATGTACTGGCTGGGCGTCAATTTATGCCTTGACTCATGAATCTTCTCGTGGGTAACTTACTTGGTCCATCTCCCTGAAGCCCATCTCTCGTGGCTGCTTGAGACCCGCCGATAGTGCGCTATTAATCTTGCGTTGTCTCTCAGAGCCCGCATCTTCCTGGGACTGGGACTGAGTCTGGGTTTGAGATTGTTGAGAGCGTTCGGGTGTACGAGGCGTGTACTCTGCACAGTCGTCTGGAGGAGGAGGACCCCGCGAAACTCGAGACGCACGTTGCTCTCTTAAAAGGTCTTGTAAAAGCGTAGACGAAGGGTTCACTAAAGGTGTAGAAGCAGGTTCCGGGGTCCCTGTCGTACACAGCAGTTGTCAACATTCTCTTCTCCATGGTGCTACAAGTTTGCGGAGTGCAAGAAAAGCTCAACTATAATTTGTACCTGATCTGGACCCATGCTTCCTTCGTGCGGCACGAGGCGTTCCAGTCAATGGAGACTGGCCGTTGAGCCAGGACGTTTCTGTGTATACCCGTCAGCACCAAGATACTCTTGTAGAACTCATGCACGCTTTACCAGAATCCAATCGCGACGGACTATTCATAGTGGACGTGCCCTTGACACGAGCAAGCGCCGCAGGAATTGGGGGATCGGATTTGTCTGTGGAACACAGCGGTCAAGTCAGTTCTTTTGTGTATTTCAAACGCGATTTGCGAAATCAAGGGCGCACCTACCGTTTGAACAGTGTCTCAGGAATGCTGTACGGCGAGCAGGGACAGGCACAGAGGAAGAGGGCTCGAAGGAGTGTCGCAGGGAAGAAGGGGCAGTTGATTGCACGGAAATTGTGCTACGCCGCTGGGGTTTCGAATCCATGCCGATGAAATGTAGACAGGAGCCACTCAGCTAGCTAGCAAGCACAATGCAGGATCCGACTAATTTGCAACGGGACGGCCAGCCGTGTGTCCTCCAGGGATGGCAGAACTCTTCATCAAATTGAGGAAATCACTTCATCGATCCAGCAAGGGTTGACTCAAACAGCGCTCGCGATACGGAGTACAGGCAGATTGGCGATGCGAGGGGCCCAGACTTTGAAACTGGAGGCGCAATGATCAACGAGGAGAAAGACCCGTGGGTCCAACTAATGCAGGAGAGAGGAAGATGGTGATGATACTGGAGAAGCACAGCGTACGTAGCCTATTGGCACAATATCAAGTGAGGGGAAGATGAAGAGGATGATGACAAGCGCCTGTGACGAGTCAACTGTGAGTCCGTAGATCTTTAAGCTAAGCAAGCAACGGAGATTCCCACGATATGGAGTCTGGTTGGGGAATGTCAGGTGTTGCCATGCGACCGATTGTCATGCATTCAAGCAGTGGCTGATCTATTGATTTTTATCCCTTGAATTGCGGTTGTTGTCACTCTTCGTTGTATTGTCGATATTCATCCTCATACCTCAGATAATACAGGCAATTGAGTTCATCACCATTCACTTCTGCTGTCAGGATATCAATTCCTGGAGAAAGTGAAGCTCTACCCTGAGTTCCCCTTCCTGGAGGATCAAAGAAACCACCATGGGGTTCACCTCTTGCCAATCATCTTTGGCGCTTTTTTGCTAGTGTCCACTAAAGAGTAAGGTACCTTAAGCACTGAGACTAAGGTACGGCTAAAATCATGGTAGCCTTTCATCCTGTCAGAACTCAGGGGCTGGACTCTTATCGACTATTATCTTGAATAGGAGTCAACCTTGAAGTCTGCCATGGTCGCAAATATCCCTTCACCTTCGACTTGATTTAAAGATACTGATGCACTCAGCAATAGGAATGTATACTTCGAGCCATGATTCCTTCCTGCTCAATTGCTCAGGTACGGACTATCCAGTACCTGTACCTAGTAACAAAAGGAATATGACGCATCTTCTCAAAACCCCGTAGCCCCCACCAGGCGG